TCAAGTGGTATGGATCTTTTATGGGATTGGCATCCTACTTGCAGGATAAAAACTAAAGCAGATTTGGAGATAGCTCACTCAGGCGGTGGAAGTTTCACAAACTGAAGTAATGCTGCTTGCCTTTTTCACCAGAGAATGGTTTTGGACAGGTTTTCCTCTTCTATTAGCATTTAAGTGACTTTGTTTGTTTTGTAAGTTTGTAAAGATTAATTGTATTTATTACAGGTGGACACCACTCACAACTGGGTCACAAGTGAATAGTAAGGATGAACTGATATATTATCTAACAATAGGCTTCAATAACCTGAAATTAAGATTACAACTATCTTAATTACATAAGGGAAGGTACTTGAAAACGCTGTAATTTTCTCAACATTATAAAAGTCTGAAAATTCAAGGTGCTGTTAAAGTCAAACAGCATTAACTCTGACCTCAAGTATTAACAACTTTCCATCCTCATAACCCACTGCATATTACAATGTAAAATAGAGACATTTTGATTAAGGAGGCTTTAATAAGCCCATGGCTGTATAAATCCACTTTGTGTACTGTGTGCCTGTGACATCAAGTAATTCGAGTCCATATGATTTCTCACTACCCTGCACCCATGGCACATAAGTTATATAATACTTGGCTCAGACCTTAAGAGGTATGTTGTAGCCCCAGATACAGAAACTACATGCCCATGCTCAGTCTAGTTGCAAAAGAACATATTTAAAAGCAGCATATGTATTCGTCCCTGCAAAATTTCAAACAAATTGGTTTAAATTAAGTACAATTAAAGTTTATAATAAAACACTAATCTCAACCTTAACTAAGGAGAAAAGGAATCTCTCTCCTTAATCTCATTTAACAGGTGTAATAGCTGTAATGCTCATACATGTTAGCATGACAACAGACAAGCTGCCTTTACTGCATTCTCACCAGCTAAATAAAATGAAGAAAAAAAGCAGCCAATGAATATACCATTAGAATAACTACCATCTAACTCAGGGGTGGGCAAACTACGGCCCGCGGGCTGGATCCGGCCCCTCAGGGCTTTGGATCCAGCCCGCAGGATTGCCCCCCGTGGTGTCACAAGCCCTGCGCCACTCTCAGAAGCAGCCGGCACCACATACCTGGGGCCTGGTGGGTGGGGGCAGAGGGCTCTGTGCATTGCCCTTGCCTCCAGGCACCGCCCCCCCCCCGCAACTCCCACTGGCCAGGAACGGGGAACCGCAGCCAATGGGAGCTTTGGGGGAGGTACCTGGAGGCCTGGTAAGGGCAGCACGCGGAGCCCTGTGCCCTGTACCCTCCCCCAGAGCCACGCAGGGACATAATTCTGGCCGCTTCCCAGAACAGTACGGCATGGGGCCAGGGCAGGCATGCAGGGAGCCTGCTCTGGCCCCGGTGCGCGCCGCTACCACCCCGAAGCCACTTTAGGTAAACAGCGTTGGGCCGGAGCCCGAACTTCTCCTGCACCCCACACCCCAACTCCCTGCCCTGAGCCCCGTCACACCCCAACCCCCTGCCCTGAGCTCCCTCCCACAGTCCACACCCCTCCTGCACCCCTGCCCTGAGCCTCCACCTGCACAATGCACCCCTCCTCTGTCCCAATCCCCTGCCCTGAGCCTGTTCCTGCACACTGCACCCCATCCCACACCCCAACCCCCTGCCCCAACCCTGCATACAATTTCCCCACCCAGATGTGGCCCTCGGCCCAAAAAATTTGCCCACCCCGATCTAACTATTTCCAAACATATTGGATTTGCTGTTGTGGGATCTATTGGTATCCGTGAGGCATCTGCAAAGCAATCCACTACCATAGTATTTCAGTACCAAAGGGACAGTTATAATCTATATTGCAGTCCATCATGGAATACCTGAAATTCAACTAGTCCACACAGGAAAGAGAGAGGGAAAACAACAGAAAACTGTCACCTGGGAATGTTATAAAAAACACACTCCTGGAGCCAGATTGTCCTTCAACTTTTGTCTCCTTTGAAAAATTTTTCCATAGTAATTAGAACTTCAATTTTTATTGAACCTCCAGAATTAGAGGAATGCCCCATCCCTAAAAAAATTTATTTTCGAACCCATGAGAATATACATATGGTGTAAGCAGTTTTTAAATAGTGCAGATTCTTCACTTTACAGTAATGCTGAAAATGCAGTTTTTTCTAATTTACCTCCATTATTCAGTGGCTCTAAAGAAGTCCTATAACATTCATCGTTGTAGACGTCAAAATGTAGTTGGGTGGTCAGTAAGACCTAGGAGTCTCAAATTATCCTGTTACGATGCTTACGTATGTAAACTATTGGTCTGCTTTTTATGATACAAAGTCAGACAAAAAATTTTAAGCCTAAATCTGAAAAACATGACACTGCCAAGCCTTAAAGGAAACAAAATGGACTAAACGCAAAAAAAAAGTATCCATCTTAGTACCCTTCTTTCCAATATATTTACAGAACAAAATGCCATTTTTTATTCTGTGTGTAATTACACAGTTAAAATAACCACCACATATAGTAAGTAATCCATCTCGTTTACCGAGGGAGCAAACGTTGGTGCAGTATGATCAACGTGACTAGTCTACACTGACCCTAGAGAAACACACTTGCCTGCTCTACTGAACAGCATAAGGGTGCACGACAAAACTCTCAAAAGGAGGGAAACTATACAAGACTTTGTCCACTTTATTTTATATTCTACTTATGTTCTAAGCAGCTACCTTTCATCCATTTTCAAATTATACAAAGCTGCTTCTAAAACTGAAAGGTATAATCTAAACAGGTACTCTGTCACACATGCAAAAAAACCAACACCATAACATCAATGCAAATTTGTATTTCCTTCTCACCAATGCTCCCACCCACAAAACCAACATAGGGACAACTTGTCAAAGTAAAAATAAAAGACATTACAATATTATGAGACTAGAAAGAGGTGCATAAGTGGAAAATAAAAGTATACGAATATCGAGTTTGAGATTCACAACTGGACATTTCTAACTTCACTGCTACCAAAAACAACTCCCCTTGGAGACAGGAAAAATTCAGTTAATCATTTGGATCACATTTAGATAAGAAGATGGAGATGGGACCAACCATTTAGATTTAAAGAAACAGCTTCACACTAGAACAAAAGCACTTGAACGAATCATAGAACACAAAACACCTACAGAGTAACCAACATGCCAAGGAAGGTAGTATCTAAATTCCTAGGCCTCCTCCAATACTCACTACTAAGAGTAATCAGTATCTGTGTGGCCCCAAATAGATAGAGTTCCACAGAACCTCCCACACAAAAATACAGATTGCTCTATAGAAAGATCTGCCACTAACTGAACCCTTCCCAAAGAACAAAACAGGTCATACCACTTCAGCACTGATGTTTCATTAGCATATCAAACAATATGCTTAAGAATTTCTCTATTCAGACATGGAGAGGGAGTCAAATATGGATCATATTTCACTTTCTCTGTAATAATTATGCATTTATACTGTAACCCACTGTTACCATTCAAAAGTGTCGCACTGTACACCTTTTATTTGGGGACTCCTCTACCACTTGAAAGGGACAGAATCAACTTATTCTTATTAACTAATGACAAAAAAATCTAGTTCCTGATAGAACACACTTTAAACAACATGACACATTTAAAAAGCTTTTTAAAATGCACACGGGTTGCTTTCTAAGGTTTTGTTTTTTCCTTTCTTTCTTTCCAGAAAAGGAAGAACATGGGAAACAGTGAATGTGACTATATACAAAAGTGTGTCAAACTGATTAAACAGCACAGAAAAACATGTAATTAACAACCTTCCTTCAGTCAGAAGTTTCAAGTAATTATAGCAGTTACTAAATAGTCAAATAAATAGTCAAATAAATATGATTTTCAAGTTGACATTGTCCCTTTAACATCCTTGTCCAACTGACAAAACTAGCCCAGTTTCTGGAGTCATCTCAGAAGATTAATTTTGCTTTAAGGATACTGTTTGGGATTTGTTTTCACTGTCTATAGGGCCAGGTTCCTGGTAGTAAGTGAGCACTTTGTGTACAAAACCACAGAAAGGGGGAGGGAGGGGAGCCCTTTCCTGCAACTAGATATCAAAACAGATCTACAACCTTAGTGTAGAAGCCAATCTGTAAACACACCAGCTCTTGTGTCTCAATGAACAGGCTGATTTTCAATCCACACACACCCCCACCCTCACAAGACAGCTGCTCTCTCTGGAAAAGGGCAGAGGGCATTGCAGGGCTCAGCTCCTCCAGGCTTCTTGGAGGGGGAAGAGACACGATTTGCCTTTATAAACATGCAATCAATCTCGTGAACTAAGGGGGGTGTAAATTCTAGACTGGCAAAGTGCAGCTGTTTTTTGCTAAGGGGCAAGGCTGGAGTGCAACCCCTTCCACCAGTGCACAAAAGCTTTTCCAAGGAGAAAAATACTGAGCAATTTAGAGATTAAACAGGAAAAAAATAAATGCAGATCAACGAGCCTTGCTGGCTTCAAGCAGATCAGCTTCCCCCTCTGCACGAACAGAGCTAACGCCTACCCAGGGATGATGAAATGGGAAACGGAAATTACCATTTCAGACAACTTTTCATATTGTTTCTTCTAGCAAGTGCTACTGCCCCTCCCCCCCACCGAGGGGCTGCCCCTCCCCCCCCCGCACGGCTGTCCTTCCCCCCCTCCCCCCGCACGCGCCCCCTCCCCCCCGCACCGAGGGGCTGCCCCCCCAGGCACGCACCCCCTCCCCCCCGCACCCCCTACGGGACTGCCCCCCCCGCACGCACCCCCTCCCCCCCGACGGGACTGCCCCCCCCGCACGCACCCCCTCCCCCCCGACGGGACTGTCCCCCCCCGCACGCACCCCCTGCCCCCCCAGGCACGCGCCCCCTCCCCCCCGCACCCCCTACGGGACTCCCACTGCTCCCCGCCCCGAGGCCCTTCTCTCCTACCCCGCGCTGCTCCCCGACCTCGAACCCCACTCGCCTCCCCCAGCTCGCCCCGCTCCTCACCCCAGGTCGGCGCTGGGCGCGCAGGGCTCGGCCCCTCCTCACACGCCGTCCCCCGGCTGCAGCCTCCCGGGCGAGCGAGGCCTCCGGCTCCTCCAGCCCCGCCGCATAGGGGAGGCGGCGGGCGGGGAAGGGGGCTCGGGACCCGCCCGGCGGCGGCGGCGGCCCCGGCGCGGGGAAGCGCAGGCGGCTGGGAGCGGCTGCTCGGTCGGGACCCGGCGGTGGCGGCCGGCTCTAGTGCTCGGGGCTGCGGCTGTCGCGGCGGCGCCTCCTCGCCCTGCGCTCCATGGCCCGCCAAGCTCCGTCCTCCCTCGGCGGCTGCGGCCCCCGGCTCGCCAGCGCCGCCAGCCTCGCTCCCACCCGCCGCTGAGACGCGCCTGCCCATTGGTCCGCCGCCCCGCGCCGCCCCATTGGCTGGCTCCCGGCAGGGAAAGTCCCGCACGGGGTGACACAGGCACGCCGCGCGTGGCGTCAACGGAAGACCTCCGTCCCGTTAGCGCGCGGGCGCGAGGCGGAGCCTGTTGTTCTGCGCGGTGACGGCGGCGGCGGGCCCATCGGATTGGTTCATTTATCGTGACGCGGGGGCCTCCCAGGGGCTGCCTCGGGAGAGTCGCGTGAACGGCTCTTTCCGGGGCGTGGCTGCCTCGCCTCCGCTCTGCCGTAGCCTTCGGGGCCTTGTGGGCGCGAGGAAGAGGCTGCGCCGGGGACGGGGGGCAGGGCGGCTGCGGCCTCCCGCGGGCGCCCCGTTCGCAGCCCGCCCCAGGACCGCGGGGGGGCCGCCCCGCCCCGCCCCGCCCGGGCCTGGCTCCCCGGGCCCCGCGGCTGGATCTCCGCTCGCGCAGGGGCGGGGCGCCGGCTCCAACGAGGTCCAGGGCCCGGGTCGCTTCCTTCTCCGGGCCCCGGCCCTCTGTCTCCGGTAAGGCGCTGCCTGCCCCCGGGGCCGCCCCCGGCCTGCTCGGGGACTGCCCGGGCGCGGGCCCGTAGCGTAGAAGGGCTCAGAGCCCGGCCGGGGCTATGTGAAGAGCGGGACCGGGGACAGCGGCCCAGGAGCCAGCCGGGAAGGGGCCAGGTGAGAGCTGCCTGGGGAGGAAAGGAGAGGGCCGGAGGACCATGGGGAAAAGCAAAAGGCTGAGGGTGAGGACGGGCCGGAGCCGGCGAACACCTGCTGAGTGAGCGCTCAGGCAGGGTCGGCTAGGAACAACCAGCCTGGCAAGGAGGCGGTGAGCCCAGTGCAAAAGGGCCGAGGCTGGAGGATGGGTCGGAGGGGAGGCCTGGGTGGGTGGGTGGAACACTGCAAAGCTGACTTGAAGCAGGCCTGCAGGCAACAAAGACCAGAACAAGGGGTTAGTCCTGCAAGGAGGGTCGGTCACTCGGGGCGGGTAGGGCGGGCAAGGCCTGGCTGAGTGAAATGCTGCGGGGAGTTAGCTCGTGGGAGACCTGACTTGGGGATACCAGAGAAGAGTCGGGGAAAGTGAGCAAATCTGGGAGCTGTCAGGTAGAGGGCCTGGAGGGTGGAGCCCTGGAACAAGGTGGAAAGAGTCTGGGGATGGACTCCTGGGACGGTGAACTGGAAATGACAGCCTGGGAGGGAGCATGAAAAACTGCTGTAATGGTACCTGTTGTAGTTCGGGGTTTTGGAAGAATGGCTTTATAATGAGGATTCTATGGACTACAGAACATGTACAGGAATGCCTCAAAGTGAGCTTTTTGGATTGGATACTGAGCAACTGTATTCCCTTTATGACTGGATCGAGAGGAAACTGAGGCAAGTGCACTTGTGCTGTGACCTGCTGGAGAGCACTTGAGGCAGGGATCCACTTATCAGGTCTCCACTTTTTATCCAAATCTTGAGACATCAGGATTCATTTTGAGCTCTTGTTTGATCATATTCCATATTCAAGGCCCTGCAACAGAAAAGGTACTGCCATCATGTGAGGGTGTGGGGACTTTGAGCTATGGTGCTTCTAACTGTCCTAGTGGGACATGAAATAATGCATCTGTACAAGCAACCCAGAACTTTTTTGCAGCCATAACACACTGTAAATGCATCAGCCATGGCCAATTCCTAAATTTTTCCCAAATTTAATCTCCCTTTGTTTTCTTCTTGCACATAAAACTGTAAAAGCTCAGGGGAACTGCACATGTGGTTTTCCCCCTTGTAGCTCAGGAAAGGCACCCACTTCTAGGCTCCCAGCTCCTCAGCTGTTACCTCTCTTGGATGGAGACCTAGGTCTCTCTCTCTCTTCTTACCAGGGTTTGCTGGGCTACACAGTTCCCTGCCTACACTGAGTTCCCCAGCATGTCTAACTGCTTAAGCAGGTCTGCTTTGCTTTCTCAACCGAAGTTAAAACAGCATAATTAGCTAAAGTTTTACGGTCCCACACAGGTTTTCCTAAGCAAGCCCATTTATTCTTAAGGTGAAAGCATTAACAGAAATCTTATTAAAATAAAAACCTGCACACATGCTGATTAGTTTACCCCCAACTCCAGCAAGGGTTCTGGTAGGAGTCAGTCCCTCAAACCACATACAGGAGTTTTTCTGTGGTTAGCAGTTCATATCCCCTTTTGCTTAGAATTAGAACCCTTATGAATCTGTGAGAGTCTTCTCCCCTCCCCGCCCCACCCTTTTATACAAGTGGGGTCTCTGATCCTGAAACCCTGGTAACAAGTAATCAGTAGACAGTGGGTTTCTCCTCAGGGTGTAGAATCAAAAGTTTGGATCCAGGGGTTGGAATCTGTGTTCCCCTCTTCCCGTGTATTTCCTAGGATTCTTGTCTGCCAGATTGTTTAAAAGAGACCTTTGAAGCTCATAATATTTTCCAGGGTTTACATTACTCATGTCTCCCCCGAGGGACATTACATACAATCCTACAATAAGACATAAATGTTTGCATTTTTAATACAATTTCATTTGTATTCTGCTCACTCCTTCCAAATCATTCATGAAAATAAGTAAGGATAGTTCTCACACAGGTCCCTGGGGATAGGAACCGTACTAGTCTCCTCCCTCCAAATTAATGTTGCAGTATTTGGGCCAGATCCTGCAAGCACTACACAGGCCATGAACTTGTTACTGTGAGCAATCTAATTGAAACCAAGGCAACCGCTCACAGTAGTAACAGCACTTCTGCCAAGAGCTCCACCTCAGGCCAGCCATGGGGGGGAGTAAGAGGGTACATCCTGGTAAACAACTGAACCTCAAGCCAGCAGTAAGAGGGTAAACTTCTACCATCACTTTAGCTTACTGGCTACAGGGTAGTGTCACGCTGATTTGTTGTTGGGGATCTCCCAAGACCCTCTTCCACTTGGTTCCTCAAGGACTCAATTTGACTCCACTTGCTTCACTCAAGTTCCTTTATTTGGCATCCAGCAAAGCTATGCTGAATTGATCAGTCTCAAAGTAGGGTGGGTATATAGGGCATACCCACACATCCAAAGTTACACAGCAAACCTCTTCCTTCGTTTACATTTACATGTCACATTGTATCTGCTGTGTATTAATCACACATTTTGAGATTGGCTTGGTCATCTTGTAGGAACCAATCCCTCTACAGCGTTCTCAGTCCACGCACTGTTTGTGCACGACTTACTCTTCACCTCATTGTATGTTCCAAGCTTTTCTTATCTTCTCCATTGTAAATGCTTCTGTGGGTGTATCCCTTGTCTTAGCTAGTACAGACATTCTGTTTCCAGCCTGCTGATCCCTATATCTTCTTGAGTCCTATCTCCCAAGAAATGAGGCCTCATCCATGCCCAATTCCTTATGTCAAACCAGGCCTACGTTTGCACCTAAACCCAGACTGCCCTGCCCCTGCCATGATGGCTGTGACTCTTTTGTCTGAGGCTTTTTCATTCCAGTTACACAGGTCAGTCACATAAGGAAAATTGAGACAGAACCTTATGAATCAGAACCTTGGTTTGCCACTGAATGTGGCTCTTCGGCCATTTCTCCTGCTTCCTTTGGGATGGAGCAGTTCTCTCTCTCTCTCGTGCTGGACCTGTCTCCTGCCTTTGTTGCAAAGGGCTTGAGGTAGCAACAAAAGCAGGGGATTGCATGCTTGACTGCCACTGTGCCCTAATGCTACTGTGCAGAGTGCTGTACATGGGAATAGGGATTCCTGCTGTGGTAATGCTGCATGTTGGTGGTTCCTGCATTACAGTACCAGTGCAAAAATACTGTGGTTGCACTGGATGTGGTTATGGGTATTGCTGTAGCACCACTGAGCCCAGTTACAGACTAGTGTTCCATTGTGCTGGGTGCTGTACAAATAGAGCAAAAAGACAGTCCCAGCCTCAAAGAGCTCACAATCACAGAATCAGACAAGACAACCTGTGGGGAGCACAAAGAAACAGCCAGCCAGCAATGGTCAGTGAGCCAGGAAGAGCTCAACAAAACTCTTTGGTATTGTGTGTGGGACTCATTTCATTTCTGACAGAGAGAGGTTTCGCTTCCACACCTACCATGCCATGGGACGCATTCATTACAGCCCCTTTACAATGACAAAAGCAAAGCAGCTGTAAGGCCCCTTAGAACTTATTCCTGGTATAAGAGCGCCAACAGGTACAGAATCAGGGTAGCTTTGCCCCACCCCACCCCCTGAAACTCCCAGCACACCGTTGAGATGGGTGTGGCCAGGGGCAGGCATTCCTAAATACTGCCTGTTTCCCAGGTGTTAAAACCCTTAGTTTTTTTCAGAGCCAAAGCACAAATTGGGGTTGCTCTGGTTCTGCAATATCAGATGCCTTTACCAGGCTCTGTAGGTATAGGTTAGAGTCTGGGTGTCTGACTGCATTGTGAATTGTTAATTAAGAATTGTTAATGCTTCCATCCACCTAGCTGCATCTACACTGGGAGGTAGGTTGACCTAACTACAGTACTCGGGGGCAACATTTTTCACATCCCTGAGCAACGTAGTTAGGTTGACCTAATTTTTAAGCACAGACCAGGCCTTGTACTGCTTGGCTTCTTAAGACTGTCCCCTGTCTTACATAAAAGGGCAAAGCCTTACTTCTCTCCCTCCTCCGTAAGATCTAATGAAACTGTCAAAAGAAAGGTTTCAGAGTAACAGCCGTGTTAGTCTGTATTCGCAAAAAGAAAAGGAGTACTTGTGGCACCTTAGAGACTAACCAATTTATTTGAGCATGAGCTTTCATGAGCTACAGCTCACTCGCTTGTCCTCCCCCCATTAGCGTCTCTTCTACGCATTCCACTGTGAAATGCTGTGTCCAAGTTAGATGCCATCCTCTGCTGCCTTAGGGCTGGTCTACACTGCAAAGCTAGATCAGTTTAACTACATCGCTAAGGGCTGTGAAAAATTTCACATCCTGTGCAATGTAAT